GGAACCCTGGGGCGTGCCCAACCACGATTTTGGGCCTCCTGAGTTCTGCTAAGGACTACCCCGAAATTTAGACCTAAGTATGAGCAGTTCAATGGACGTGGCACTGCTTGGAATGAGTTGGATCACAAGGCTCGTATGCAGTGTTCTAAGGTTTGGAGCATGAATAAAGGAAAATTTCGTCGTGCTGCATACCGTTAGCCAGCTGTTGCTGGACACATCTCGGAGACCATGGCGGTGCTGCTTGCCTCGGAGTGGCAACCCGAGTGGACCGACACGGGTGTCGAGCTGAGGGCCACCGATGCCGACTTCCCCGTCCATCTTTGATCCGCTCTTCGGGCCACATGCTCTGCTGCGTCGTGGAGCAAGGCTACCTTGCACCATTGCGAGACGGGGCCGGAAGGAGGAATGGATTCCACGGTGGTTGGGAAAAGCTTGCGAAACTTACCCGACATGGTGAGCATGATGCTGATGGAATCCTTCGGAGTAGGTCGACTGCAGGGTGATGGCCAGAAGATAGGCTACAATCTGCAGGATATGTTTCAGCTACAGAAGGCCGTTGCGGTAGGTGCGGCGCCTCAGCTGAGACCCTGTTGCATCGGTTTTGGAAGTGTGAATGAAATCAGCAGATCCCCGATCACACGATTGAGAATACCCATCATTTGGTCGATCAAGAGGTCGCTGAGCACGGTAAGGTCAATGTTTGATGTCGAGGTCTCGCCCCCCCCATCTGGCCGCTTCCGTGGGACAAATTCCCCCCTTCACAAGTATTTGAATGGGTTTGGGGCGGCCGTCCGGTGCCTGGTAAACGTGTCAAGGGGGAGTCGGGCAAGGACTGAAGGCTGCGTAGGTGTGGCTGGTCGATTGTCCACTTAGGTGCAGGTGGTGGTATCGATGCTGTGCGCTGCGGCACTTAGCCGTGTGAGCGGCAGTCTTCACCACGAGCCGAACTTTATTGCCTTGATTTAGGATACCATGGACACGACGAGAGATTCGTGAATACATTGTGATTGTTTGATGGTTGTTAAAGGTTCTAGAAGGAGTGTCCGGGCTTCGAGGAAATCGAATATGTTAGACCTCTGGGTACTATATCACAGGGTCCTGGAACAACGAGGGGGCGCTATCAGCGTGACTTGGACGAAAATCACTCCAACCAGGTCCAAGCTTTGAAAATGTACCGTTCGGATGTTGAGGAGCGAGGTGGACTCCACGAGCCGAGCCGCTGCGAACTCGCGGTTGCGTTACCTCTCAATCGGCGCGCATATGTCGGCTCCGCGATGCAGGCCACCATCCTTATACCAGGATGCTTTTTATCAGGTTAAAGAGTGCGGCCTCGGATTTCACCTTGGAGGTAAATTGGCCGATGTGTGGCCGACCCCGTGCAAACTAAGGTGCCTGCTGCAGCAGCGAAGTTCTATTTTGCCTAAGCCTGAGAAGTGAAGGAACGATGACTCTGAGCTGGCCCCCGATGGGAGCGCACTGAACCATCCCCTTGCCGTCCAGTGCCGCTCCACTCACCGGTTAGCAGTGCTGCGAGGTCCTGTACTGTAAGGATTGCGGAGGGTTTTGCACTGCGCAACCTCCCCGTAGATCGAAAGGAATATGAGGAGACCCGTCCCGAGGTCCATGTCTCTTGAAACCGGGGGAAGGAGGTTCTGTATCGGCTCGTGGGGGGCTTGCCTCCAAAGTCGGGCACTCACTTCCCCGACTTGCACTGATTGTTCTGGTGAAGCGGCCTGCCCAGAGCAGGGCCCCCCCGCATTTCAGAAATTGAATTCGAATCCTCCTCCTCCTCCTGCCCTCTCCTCCTCCTCCTCCTCCTCCTCCTGCTCCTCCTCCTCCTCCTCCTCATCATCATCATCATCATCATCATCATCATCATCATCATCAGCAGCAGCAGCAGCATCATCATCAGCAGCAGCAGCATCATCATCATCATCCTCTTCCGCCTCCATCCCCCTCCTCGAAGGTTGTCCCCCCGACCTGTCCAGGGGTGCGCTTTGACTAAGATCTCGACCGCAATCCAGCCCCGGTGACGAGACACCCCGAGCCTCGATGGTCGACCCTCCAGGCTCGACCCTCGAGCCCCGAGCCCCGAGCCGCGAGCCTCGATCCCTCGACCCTCGCCCCTCGCGCCCCGCCTCCGCCAGCGCGAGCGCCCCGGCGTCGGCGATCTGGTTGTTCTGGAGCCACAGCTGCGCCAGCTGCGGCGTGGCCCCGCTCCTCCCGAACGCCTCGGCGAGCGAGGCCACGCCCGCGTCGCCGACGCGGTTGATGCCGAGGGACAGCCTGCGGCCACGGCGCAGGACCGACTACCCGTCGGTCGGAAGAGGCAGGCAGGAGCATGAAGCAGGAAGGCGCTGAAAGTCGATCTGCGCATGACGTAGGAACATGAAGTAGGAACATGAAGTAGGAACGTGAAGTAGGAGCATGGAGTAGGAACATGAATTAGGAAGATGAGGTAGGAACACGAAGCAGGGAGGCGCTGAGAGTAGATCGGGTGTCCGCCCGCCCCCCTAAAGAGGACGGACCAGGTGAAGCCACCCGATCCTTGGAGCGGGAAGGCGCTTTTACGCGGATTGGGAGCCGGGACTCCAAGAATACCTGCTTTCAACGACCGATGGGTGCTCTCGCAAATATGTTGATGTGAAGATGTGAAGATGTATACGGTAGGCACGCACGATATCGTTTGTGTCTGTTCCGTGGGTGCCTACGTGGCCTCCGGCGCTGTCCGACTTGGCCTGGTCTGGACCCGATTTGGAACGCATGTGAGACCAGATTTTGACTGGATTCGCCTTTCACGAGGGAGACGAGGAGAACGAGGAGGGCAAGGGGAAACAGGAAGGGCAAGGAGGAGGAGGAGGAGGAGGAGAAGGAGACGAAGCAGGAGGAAGGGCCTGATGCGGTACAAATGCGGTCCAAATTCAGAATCTAACTTCAATGTCGCCTCCCAAGGATCTCATGAACATGCATCGAACTACTTGAATTTGGCTATGACGAATCCGCCGACCCCTTGTGGGTCTCTAGGCGTGTGAGATTCTCCCCCACCGTAATCCCCCCCCAAAGACCCCAAACCCGCAATTTAACCCCCCCCCCGGGCCAAGCGCGAACCCGGACCGAACGCGTCACGGGGGAGCGAAGGGCCCCAAAACTTACCAAAAAGGCACCCAAACGCCCCCCAGACGGTCCCAGGGGGCCACGATTCGCCGACATATCGCCCCTGGACGCCCACGATGGCCTCCAGGCGGCCTCCGAAGCTGCCAAGACGCCCCAAAAGGCCACCAAGATGCGCCCCAAGAGGGTTCCAAGAAACAAAAATCGGCCCCCATGCTCTGCGAAAAACAGAAGAACTTTTCGCATGCTCGCCTATTCGGCTTTCACAACGTCCACAACGGGCAAAGAAACCTTCAATATCGCCCGAGACGGCCAAAGGGGCCCCCAAGAAGGGTCGAAGAGGGTCCAATAACGGCCCACGAAGCCCCCAAGACAGCCCAAGAGGGCCCCCAGACGGCTCCAAGACAGAGCACAGAGTGCACCTCTTCGAGCCTTCGGCCCCAAGACGCCCCCAGCCTGCCCAAAGAACCCCCCAAGAAGCCCTGAGGGACCCCGAAGAGAACCCCAATGGCCTCCAAGAAGCCCCCAGGAAGCCCCCAAGAGGCCCCAAAATTTGGCCCAAGATGCCTCGAGGCGGCTGGATATGGCCTGCAGACAGGCCAAGATGCCACCAGAAGGCAACAAAAGAGCACCAAGAGGTATGATAACAGCAACGAAGCAACAAGAACGATATCGAGCGCCGTGTCATGATTCGGACAAGCCTCGTGAAATGCAGTCCTGGAGGCGCAATAGTTTATATAGGGGCCGGCGGATGTGGCGTAAGCCTATAGAATCTGAGGGCACACCCTTTCTCGGCTCTGATCTGCGTAGGGTGCCCGAGGGCTGTGCGGGCCCATCGGGAGACAAGTTCTCGTGGAGCATCCGCTGGCAGGCCAGTTTCTTGTTTGTGTGCCTACTGTGCCCGCCGCTGTGCCGCAGGTGCTGAATGGAGCGCCCTCGGGCAATCAAAGAGTACCCAAGTCTCGTAAGGTGTTCAGTAGTGTGTATGTTCTCGTAAGCAGCGCCCCGGGGCCCAAACGTCCGTGGATGTCTCGCGGATCGAATGGGTCGCCCCGCAACATGTTTACAATGCGAAAAGAGAGTACGTCCGGATATACAGTTCAATCCAGCGCTGGCAACAAACGCTGTTTAAGTTTAGAACGCGCTTAAAATAAAAACAAAATCAAAAACAAAACACGCCGACGCAATCCGTTCACCGTTTAGTATTAAAACAAAAAACAAAACGTCGCGGTTGGCGTCCGAAACGAAAAACGCATCAGAACAAAACGCGACCGCGCGAACCTGCAGCGAAAACAAAACAAAACAAAACGTGCGGGCGCCCCCCCCCCATGTCAAATCCCCTTGGGTTCTGCAGAGCCAAGCCCCCCCAAAAATGGCATGGCCTTCCCTTCGCCACAAACGAGGCCATGTCAAAAGTCCTGGGGCTGCGCAGAGCCAAGCCCGCAGAATTGTGACATGGCTCTCCCTGCAGCCCGAAGGAGGCCATGCCCGAAGATTTTTGACACGGCCTTCCCTTCAGCCCAAAGGAGGCCATGTCAAAACCCCTTGTGATTTGCAGAGCAAAACCCACGGATGCTTGACATGGCCTTCCCTTCGGCCCAAAGGAGGCCATGTCAAAATCCCTTGGGTTCTGCAAGGCACAACCCAAGGATTGTTGACATAGTCTTTCCCTCCAGCCCAAAGGAGGTCATGTCAAAATCCCATTGGGTTCTGCAGGGCAAAACCCAAGGATGTTTGACATGGCATTCCCCTCAGCCGAACATGTCAAAAATCCTTGATATTTGACACGGCGTTCCCTTCAGCCCAAAAGGAGGCCATGTCGAAATCCATTGGGTTCTGCAGAGCAAAACCCAAGGATGGTGTGACATGGCCTTCCCTTCAGCCCAAAGGAGGCCATGTCAAACATCCTTGGGTCCTCCACAGCAAAACCCACAAATGTTTTACGTGGCCTTCCCATCAGGCCAAAGGAGGCCATGTCAAAACCCCCTGGGTTCCGAAAGGCAGAAACCAAGGATTTGTGACATGGCCTTCCCTGCAGCCCAATGGAGGCCATGACAAAACCCCATGGGTTCTGCACAGCAAAACCCAAGGATGTGTTGACATGGCCTTCCCCTTCAGCCCAAAGGAGGCCATGTCAAAATCCCGCGGGTTCAGCAAAGCAAAACCAACGGATGTTTTACGCGGCCTTCTCTTCAGCCCAAGGAAGGCCATGTCAAAACCCATTGGGTTCCGCAGAACAAAACTCACGGATGTTTGACATGGCCTTCCCTTCAGCCCAAAGGAGGCCATGTCAAAACCCCGTGGGTTCTGCAAAGCAAAACCCAAGGATTTATGGCATGGTCTTCCCTACAGTCCACGTCAAAATCCCATGGGTTATGCACAGCAAAACCCAATGATTTGTAGCGAGGCCTTCCCTTCAGCCCAAAGGAGGCCACGTCAAAATCCCTTGGGTTCTGCAGAGCAAAACGCAAGGATGTTTTGACATGGCCTTCCATTCAACCCAAAGAAGACCATGCCAACATTCCTTAGGTTCTGCAGAGCAGAACCCAATGATGTTTGGCATGAGCTCCCCTTCAGCCCAAAGGAGGCCCTGCCAACATCCCCTGGGTTCTGCAATACAAAACCAAAGGACTGTTAAGCGTGCCTTCCCTTCAGCCGAAAGGAGGCCATGCCAAATTTCGTTGGGTTCTGGTGGGCAAAACACACGGATGATTGGCATGACCTTCCCTGCAGCCCAAAGGAGGCCATGTCAAAACCCCTTGCGTTGTGCAACGCAAAACCCATGGATTTTTGTTTACATGGCCTTCCCTTCAGCCCAAAGGAGGTCATGTCAAAAAAAACCTTGGGTTCTGCAGAGCAAAACCCAAAGATTGTTGACATTGCCTTCCCTTCACCCCGAAGGAGGCCATGTCAAAAACCCGTGGGTTCTGCAGGGCAAAAACCCACAGATGTTTGACATGGCCTCCCCTTCAGCCTAAAAGAGGTCATGTCAAAAACCCTTGGGCCGGGCAGACCAACGACCCACGGTTAAATGACATGGCCTTCCCTGCAGCACAAAGGAGGCCATGCCAAAACCCCGTGGATTCTGCAGAGCAGAACCTACGGATGTTGAGATGGCCTCCCCTTCGCCCCAGAGGAGGCCATGTCAAACACCTTTGGGTCCTGCAGGGCAACAGCCCAATGATTTTTGATAAGGCCTTCCCTTTAGCCCAAAGGAGGCCATGTCAATAACCCTTGGGTTCTGCATGGCAAACCCACATATTTTTGACATGGCCTTCCCTTCAGCCCAAAGGAGGCCATGTCAAAAACTCCCTGGGCTCTGCAGAGCAACAACCCAAGGATGTTTGACATGGCCGTCCCCTCAGCCCGAAGGAGGCCATCACAAAAAGCCTCGGGCCCTGCAGAGCAACACCCAAGGATTTGTGGCATGGCCTTCCCGTCAGCCAAAAGGAGACCATGTCAAAAGTCCTTGGGTTCGGCAGAGCAGAACCCAAGGATGTTCTGACATGGCCTTCCCTTCAGCCGAAAGGAGGCCATGTCAAACATCCTTGGGTTCTGTAGAGCACAGCCCAAGGATGTTTGACATGGCCTTCCCTTCACCCTGAAGGAGGCCATGTCAAAACCCCTTGTGTTCTGCAGGGCACAACCCAAGGATTTTTGTACATGGCCTTCCCTTCATCCAAAAGGAAGGCATGTCAAAAACCCTTGGAATCTGCAGAGCAAAACCCAAAGATGTTTGACATGGCCTTCCATTCGGCCCAAAGGAGGCCATGTCAAAATTCCTTGGGTTCTGAAGAGCAAAAACAACCGATTGTCGACATGGCCTTCCCTTCAGCCCAAAGGAGGCCATATCAAAATACCTTAAGTCCTGCGAGTCAAAAACCACAGATTTTTGTCATGGTCGTCCCTCCCGCCCAACGGAGGCAATGTCAAAAACCAGTGGGTTCTGCAGAGTAAAACCAACGCGTTTTTGACATGGCCGTCCCTGCAGCCCAAAGGAATCATGTCAAAAAAGCATGGGTTCACCAGGGCAAAACCCAAGGATGTTTGACATGGCCTTCCCTTCAGCCCAAAGGAGGCCTTGTCAAAACTCCTTGGGCTCTGCAGCGCAACAACCCAAAGATTTTTTACATGGTCTTCCCGTCAGCCCACAGGCGGCCATGTCAAAAACCCTT